GGGGGGCGACGCTCTACCGACGCGGAGTGCCGGGCGGTCACACGTGTGACGGTGTGACAACCTGCAAAGTTTCGGAAACTCTGATAATCGGTTGACCGACGCCCCGTGTTGTAGAGATGCGCGAACGGGCTAATTCGAAAAGCTGGTTTACAATCGTTCAATTAAAGTTTTAAATTTTAGTAATTTAACAAAGCTGAAAGGCGGAAGAATGAAAAAAGTCACCACGGTTGCCGTTTGATAATTCCCCGCATTCTTCTGCATTTTAGCTTTACCGGGATGCTTTATTCACGAATAGCTCAATGATCGTTCGAGTTCGATCGAATTCGAACATGTTCGCTCATGGCTAGCGCCGTGTACTGTACAATTTTCTTACTCAGGGAAAAAATCAACGTGTTCTTGGATATCTCCTCGGATACACACGAGCCACGTGTCTGAGACCCCCTAGTCCAGCGCTAGACGGCCTTGGAGGTTACTGTTCTGACAGAAACAATACAAAAAGTGAGGACCAGTGCCAAAATTCTGCTCGTGCCCACTTCAGTGCCGCTGCTCGCTGCTTCGGGAGATGGTCGCCGTCGTCGTCCTCTTGCTGCTGGCGGCCGCCGCGCTCGCGGTGGCCGCCCTCCTGGTCCGCTTCTCTCGCGCCGTGTCCGAGTTGAGGCGCGTCCGTCGCATGACCGCCAAGCTGCCCGGCCCGCCCATGTACCCCCTGATCGGCAACGCGCTCGAGCTGGCCTGCAGTATGGACGAGGTCTACGACCGCCTGCACTCGCTCGCGTCCACGCACGGGTCCATGTACCGCTTGGCGATAGCGCACGTCACCTTCGCCTTTGTCATGGACCCCGACGACATGGAGGCCGTCATGACCAGCGGCAAGACGTCGGACAAGTCGGTGACGTACGGCACGCTGGAGCCGCTTATGGGCCGCGGGCTCGCCGTCCTCAACGGGGACGAGTGGCGGCGGCACCGCAAGGCCATCTCGCCCAGCCTGCACCTCGACATCCTGCGCGACTTCGTGCCGATCTTCTCCAAGCAGGGCGCGGCCTTCGCGGACACGCTGGCCGAGCTCGCCGAAAAGGGGGAGGCGTTCGACGTGACGCCGCTCAGCGGAGCCTGCGCCAACCACACCATCTGCGAGACCGTCATGGCCACCGACCTGCACAGGAACGACCCGATGAAGCGCGATTTCCTCGACGCCATCCCTAAGGCCTTCGACCACTTCATGTACCGCGTGTGGAGGCCCTGGCTCCTCAGCGAGTGGGTCTACTCGCTGCACCGCTCGCGGTTCCCGGAGTACCTCAAGGTGAAGGACTCCCTCAACCGATTCACCCGAAAGATAATCTGCGAAAAGAAGAAGGCACTGCAGAAGCACGAGATCCCCCAACGGAAGCGGCAAGCCTTTCTGGGCCACATGCTGGTCTCTGAAGAGGGCGCGGCGCTGAGCGAGGCGGAGCTCGCTGAGGAAGTCAAGACCCTTGTTATGATAGCGTCGGCTTCCTCGATGGACGCCCTTACCTTCCTCATTTACACGCTCGCCATCCGCCAGGACATTCAGGACAAAGTTAGACAAGTAAGACACACAAAACGTTGAGTGCTAACTAAGGTGGCCCTACCAATGAAACCTGGAACCCATCACCCCATCACCCATCATTCCAGATTTTACTGTTGTTGATGCAGCCCGAGTTTGTAAAATGTAAGTTGGAAGTTTAGGAAAGCAATAAATTATTACATTTTCACAAATTTTGCGGGCATTCGGGTGCCTCTATGAGGGACCCATCCCTACCCATCATTTACGAGTAGACCCGTAAATGGTCACTCAAACATATATGTTCATAATTTGTTAAAATGTATTTATTGCATTACTATACTTCCAAAGTATATTTATCTCGCTTCTCTTCTGCAGTGTTGACGCTGGCAGTGTTGACGCTGGCAGTGTTTTCTTTAGACTATTTCAAAATGACACAAGTTCCCAACTTCTGTGAAGTCGTGATCGTCCTAGTGGAAATGTCATTTTTGCGCATCCGTGGGTTCCCGAGCCATGCCAACTTCTTTCTGAGTACGCTTTCCTTTGTTTCTAGGAGCTGGACGACATCCTGGGCGAGGATCGCGGGCGCCCCTTGCAGCACTCGGACCTCGCCCACATGCAGTACACGGAACGGGTCATCAAGGAGACGCTGCGCTTCTTCAGCGTCGTGCCCATCTTCGCGCGCACCGTCACCGAGGACTTGCTCCTGCCGTCCGGCTTCACCGTCCCGCGCGGCTCCCAGGCCACCTTCTGGCTGCCCTACGTGCACCGAAACCCCCAATGGTTCCCGGAGCCGGACAAGTTTGACCCGGACCGCTTCCTGCCGGATAACTCGCGTGGCCGCCACCCCTTCGCCTACGTTCCGTTCAGCGCCGGGCCCAGGAACTGCATCGGTCAGCGGTACGCCATGACGTTCCTAAAGACGGTGGCGGCCACCATCGTGCCGCGGCTGCGGTTCGAAGTCCCCGACGACGGCCCCAGCCGCCTCGAGGATGTCCCACTCACGATGAACCTCACCGTGTCCGTGCGGGGCGGTGCCAACATCCGGGTGCACCGACGCTAAGCAAAGATGATCACGCGCAGTCCCCATTTCAGAGATTTCGGAGATTTCAGACCGACCTCGTGTCGCTGGGACGGGCTGCGGCACGGGCGTCGAGTGTACGGCTGGATCACCTTTAGAGAAACAGATAACAGATCTGTTTCAAAAATGTCTCAATGAACATATTAGTAACCTTCCTGAAACGGGTCTGTTCTGTTATTTGTTATTTCTCTTAATTAAGGTGATACGTAAACTAACTTTGCCCAGGGCCTAAAATTGTTTTTAAAATGCTAATACGGTGCTGCAGGGTTCACTGTGGCTTGCAGTGAATTCACCGTAAGAAGTGAACCCTAACTGTACCACCGATTTTAAACACAATTTGAGGCCCTGAGCAAAGTTACCTCGGTGGGCCAAAGTTACCCCAGTTTACGGTCCTATGTAGCTATGGCGTGTAAACCCTTCACTTTGAGGATGTGGACTGGATGAGAATGCTGCCGAGGCCCTCCTTTTGGGCGCTTTGTGCTGAGCTAGTCAAACCATGTTTCAGGAGAAATAAATTGATCACCACTGCTCACTCATGTTTTTCCCGCACTTCCCCTCCTCCTTGCTCAAGCTCCTCCCTCGTATTCCCCTCCAGCCCGCCTGAACCTCCCGCCGCTCCACCCGCGCCCCGCGCCCGGCCCACTGCGCCTGCGCAGTCTAGCGGGGGACTTCAGCAGTAACTTTGCAGGTGCAGAACGAAATTAAAATCTGGCTCCGAAATGTAAATAAGTCAATCAACAATCAACAAACTATCAGCTGGCAGTTGGCTTGCATCCACTGCTACTACTTTTACCCTCAAGTTACAGTAAACTCTCAAGATGTGGATGAAAATAGCTCTTATATTCGTTTTCGTTGCCTTCGTCGTCACAAATGTCACGGTATGGTTATAAATACTGCTGTTATGCAATATTTTTCATTTGCACATAATACCGGACTTTTGATTGCTTTTCCCTGTTCTTCATTTTCCTGTATTTGTATTTGTTGGTACACTTCAGGCTTCACATAGCTTATTTTTGTTTTTCTAAAGGTTATGTTATTGTCATTTACCTGTCTCATTTGCTTTTAGGCTCAGATTGACAATGACGCAAGATGTAAGTGTCTCTGTCCCAGCCTTCCACTTCCAGAATCGAATGAAACAAGAAAGGGTAATCAATTCAAACAGTATAAAGGTGACCCAGACCCCAGTCAATGGTAAGTTACTGTGCATCTTTCATTCAGTTTTAAGCTTAATTCACGATAGCAATGCAAGCGTGTCATTAACATCAGCATTGAATTAATGCTGGGGGAGGGGTTGGAACAGGGTAAGGGAGGAGTGGAAGAAGGCATTCAGATTGTCCTTTTAACACTAAAGGTAGAGCTAGGCTTACAGCGTTGCAACCGTAAATCACCCTGTTAAGGTGGATTTATGATGGTAGCGTTAGCGGTACGCAGCAAGCGTAGTTCTGCCGCTAGCGTTAAAACAACGCTCGGACGGTCCTCTTCCACGCCTCCCTCACCCTGTTCTGACCACTACGCTAGCGTTAATTCAACGCCAGCGTTCAAGATACGCTCGCTGTGTTCCGATCGTAAATCCCCCTTAAGTGGATTTTGTTACTTAAACCTTGTTTTATTTTACAGCACATGTCGTGATGTTGTTCTTCCTAAGTTGTCAGATGCAGAAAAGGCAGGACTTCCTCCAGAATTCTGTGTTAGATGTGACTGCAAGTATGAGAACAGAAATACGACAATAATTAAGGTAAGTTAACAAATAAAATTGAACTTAGCAGTTTTTAAGTAACGGGGATAGACTTGTAAGAAAATTTGTCCTCTTTGATTTTAGGTTGTTGTTATTATTGTGATATGGATTATCAGTCTTTTAGTAGTATACATGCTTTTTTTGATTTGTCTCGATCCATTGTTAAACAAAAGAGTTCAAAGCAATTACACTGAACACACCAATGAGGTAAGTAATATATACTCTTTTAAATCAAGGGCAGTTTCTGTAACAATCGATGTATTTATGAAGCCCACACAGTCTTATTCAATTTTACTAGGTCAAATTAACCTTATCCTTGTTTTATAGGATGAGATGTCCGGAGGAGAAGGTGTCTCACATGCCATGGGTGTACGTTCAAACGTTCTTAACAGAGTTGGCCACCAGCAGGACAAATGGAAAAGGCAAGTTCGTGAGCAAAGAAGGAATATTTATGATCGCCACACCATGCTTAACTGAATTATTTCTGGTATTTTTGTTATGAGTATCAGCTAAATGGTTTTTGCTATCTTGATAGAAGTCAGAATTTTGGCAGATTCCCGATTCCCTTATAACACACTGTACTTGATTCTTTCCGCATTCCCCAATATGTACTTTTAACTACTATAGGTCAACTTATGTACTATGAAGTTTTGTTTTTTCAGAACCTGATTGTAAACTTTTCTAGCATAAGAAAATAAAGTTGTGTTTTTTATTTTATTTAACAACTATTTAAGTTTTTGTTTTTTTTTTTTTTTGGCAATGAAGTTGGCGAGTACCCAAGACCAGAATTTAAAAAAACAAAAAAAACAACATAGAAATTTTATTAGAAACATGTATTGAAGGTACTTTACAGCAGAAAAATCAGACTAAAACTTGAAACGAATAATTTCAGAGCGATATTTAACTAATGATTCAATTTTAGCCCTATCATCCTCGAAAATTGGTTCAATGGGATCAGCAAAGTGGGCTGCCACAGGCAGTTTAAGATCTTCATCATTGATGAAATGTTGGACCCGACAAACAACTGGGACCCTTTCCTTTCCATTGATGATAACTGTGGCAACAAAGTGTTTTCCTTCTTTGTCAGGATCAGGGCCAGTGATTGGTCGTTCTGGGAGCTCAATACATTCTTCGTCAAGTATAATGCCTCCTTGCCTGAATGCCACCCGAGCATGCCACTTCTCAATCTGAAAAACAGGAGGAGAAATTGATATCAGTTTAAAATACTGCAATGTGAGATGGAGGTATTTTCTCTAAAAAGGTACTTACAGTCCAGGGGTTCTTCATATTCATAAAGAAAAAGACCATTAATTGTGCAATGACATGTGAAGTCTTCTGAGCAGTGAGAGTGCTGAATACAGCATTCTCCTCTACCGTCTTGATTAATGATGCATATTTGACCTCGTTTTCCGGATTAGCATATACAGCATACTGAGGTATCAGAAATTCAGCATACGCAATGTCTCCAGGAACCTTAAGCTTTGTTCCTTTAACACCTTTCCCTGGCACATCTTTTATGAGGATAACCTCAACATCTGGCATTTTTTGTTTTGGTGGTTTAATTTCATCGTATACTAAATGACGGCTCCTGAATTTTTTAGCGGGTCCGTTAATTGGCCGAAGTGGAACTTCATGTCTTCGATGTACAACTGGTATAAACAACTGGGTTTCGTCCAAAAGTGGAATCAGTTTTTCAGTGTCAGTCTTCTTCTGCCGAATGAGTGATTTATTTCGCACGAAAATTCTGCCAAAATTATCGCTCGATTTAAAAGATCTTTGAGCGAGGTTCCTGAACATTTTAAGTTGTTTCAAATTTCCTTAATCAATTGCAAATGCCCGGTTTCACTAAAATAAATCACACTCCGTCGTTTGGTTAGAGAAGAACCAAGGGATCGTGCCGTCGTCTGCTTCGCTAGATTGCTTGCTGGTAAAGAACAAAAATAAAAACAAATTGCAGAAGGGAGGGACAAATGAACTTCTGTCGATGTGTATCCAGATGTGCATTTTCTCTTCCTTGTGGCGTGTTTTGGTCCGATCTCACATTTTGACATTTGGTTGATTATAAACTTGTCTATGTCTTTAATTAACAAATAAAAGTAACAAATTATATAAAAATAGTTAATTTTCAAGCCTTGCCCCGTTCAGTGTAAGAACTAATTCTTTATGCAAGTTTAGATTTGTTTACGTCCATAACCTGACAGGATGGTCTCCAAGAAAAAGAGACCTAATACTGTAAGTTCCTACTAATTGCCTCATAATCAAATTCTTATAAAACGTAACAATAATTTCATTCGAATTTCTTCAATTTTTTCCAGCCTGTGGTCGAGGTCGAAAGTACTGCCCAACCAAGTTCTACAGTATCTGAGACACAAAGCCCATCCCCAGCTGCTGTTGATGTGGTAGAAGAAAATCGCGATGAGAAGAAATTATCCTTCAAGGACCCTGCCTTTCAGGTATCTACTAGTAAACGAAAAATTTTATAGAATATTTAATTCATGATATTGAAGCGTGTCATGACATTCTATCTTGCTGATCATCAACAGAGAGGCAACAAGAGCAGCAACAAGAAGAAAGGTGGCCGTTCTTTAAAACAGATTTTGGCTCAGGAGCGAACACTACCATGGGCTTCCTCTTGTGTTTTATGTAAGTTGTTTAGATTTATTCATATTATATAATTATTAAGTTATCTATCTGCTCATACATGGTAATACTTTTCTCATTTGCAGACAGCTCTATAAATGCTCCTCCATCTTTCAAACCTTCTAAAAAATATTCTGACATATCTGGTTTACCTGTGAGTATATCCCCTACATAACTGGGTGACAATTTTTTTAAAGCTCTATAGCAATTACAATTACATTTCCAGGCTAATTACACTGATCCACAAACTAAGCTGTTTTATGCAACAACAGAGGAATTTAGCACTATCAGAAGGCTTCCCAGTGACATTGTTGCTGGTTATTTGGCTCTAAGAAGAGCAAACAATCTAATCAGCTGACGGAAAAGCAGCTCCCAGTAATTACCAATTGATTTCTAATTTATTTTAATGTATTGGATTAATGGTGTTAAAGAAGAAAGCAAATTATGTATCTTTGAACTGATGTCCTTTTATTGTAACTATTTTTAAAATTATGAATTATGTCAAAGCAAATTTCTTATCTTAAAAATATAATTGCCATTCTAAACTTCCCAACATTGAAGAAAATCCCAACAAGTAAAGAAGTAAAGTTATATAATTTGAGAACTGAAAAATATTGTACATGTACATATCAGAAACTTAGAAGCCAGAATGCTCCTCCTTCACTGTGAGTATTTAATCCATCATAGAAACAAAAACATTCAAATTCGCCAGTTAGGACTGAAAGAAAATATAAAAATATAAAATGACAGATTCAGTAACATGAAATACAAGTCTTGAATAATACTGCAGATGACAGAGAATGTAAAAGCATTACGTCTTACGGGTTGATTGGAACTCTCTGTTTCAAGCTGAGCGTGAGCTCATAAATGAGAATGGAGACTAGAGATCCAAACACATGTTTGTGATACATCTGCTTCAGTTCAAAACCTTTCTTCAGATATAGTTCTCGTGCATTGTTGTGACATTCTGATGTTACAAGTTCTATTGCATCGTACCCCTTACTAACTGCAAATTTAATAACTTCATCGACAAGTTGGGAGCCAATTCCTTTATGCTGGTATCGGGGATGAACAGCCATACGTCGTAACCAGGCTGTGTTTTCTTCAGATTTACTTCTTGTCACGGCAATAGTACCAATTACTGTTTTCTTAAGATGAGAAGCAAGTTGCACAGACTGCCTCTGCATTTCACTTTCAGTCATTACGAGGTACTTAGCATGTTTTGGGTCTTGAGTCATAAACATTGGCTCACAAGCCTCCGCCACCCAAAAGCCTGTGTAATCTGAGGACATGTAGAAACGGGGAATGCTGGATATATCTTGCATCATTTCCATTGTTTTGAGAGTGTGGGCCAGGTAGATAATCACATACATGGCTACAATGACAACAGGAATAGAACCTAGGCAAATGCTTAATGGGACACCCATGAAGATGAACATGACAGCTGAGGTGACAACCATGGCCTGGAAGGTGATCTCCCTCGTCAGCCCCGCAATGAAAGCCGTATTCACAGTAGACATAGTGCCCTCCCGTACAATCTCCTTGCACTGGAGCTCGTCTCCAGGCCGGTAGTCGCGAATCACAATGACATGGTCCATGATGAACGCAGACAAAATCTTTCAGGCAAGCTCGATTTTGACGAGCAAGTAGACAGAGAGTGACGCGTCCGCAGCTACTGAAGTGTCAAATTTCGCACATTCGAGAGTTCCTTCGCCTTCACCGGAATGTTGACAACAGCAAATTATCACTCACAACAAATAAGTTCTGTGTTTCTCCTCTCTCCCTTCTGCCCGCGCAAGAAGCCTCTTCTCACTGCGCCAACATGCGCGCTTACATGTTTCGAGTAAAACGTGGTACAACAACTATGTATCCATAGTCCACCTTTCAGAAAAATTAAACAGATGAAAGAAAAATTATTCTTTGTAATGATTTCTTCTGTGTTTTCGAAGTATTTGCCTCTCTTTTGTGTCAAACAATGTTGCAAAATTGGTGCAGATGAAATATGAGAAAAGAAATCAGAGAACGTGCAATTTTTCATTACTCATTTTTAGGGTTGTTGTTTGTTTTGTTGTTTCATTTATTTGTAAAACGAATTTGTCGTTCACAGTGTCAGTTTGAATTTTACTTGAACAATGTTTTAGGGCTACCTTGTTTATCATCAATGCCTCATTAGGATTTCGTACGCAGAGTGAGAAGAGGAGAAGAGCTAATCTACGCTATGGAAGGCCCCCAGATAATGTATGCAGACCCTGCTTTGATTGATACAATCGTGGGCGAACTGAAATCTCAAGGAACTTTTGATCAGTTCAGAAAAGAATGCATAGCTGATGTAGATACCAAGGTAAAAACATTCTTCTTATTAAATACTCTTTGTGTTATGACCAGCAACCATGCAATAACAGCTAGTCAGCTTATTCTTTTATCCAACGTTAATAACCTGTATGTCACAAGATCTTTCAAAACGGCATTTTTCTACCCTTACAGCCTGCGTATCAGAATTTACATCAAAGAGTTGAATCGACTGTTGCCAACTTTCTTGAGGGGAAAGTATGGAGGCCAGATCTTAACAAGAATCAACTACGAGATAGCCTACGAAAACATATCCATGAGTAATGTGCTTCATTGATAGTGCTCAGAGCTATTAGAATTATTTGCAATATCATTAATTTCTTTTTATTTGACACAGAATGGGATTTTTGGAAACTGGTGTAGAACGAATTGTTGATCAAGTTGTTAATCCTAAAGTGAATGCTGTTTTCATGCCACAAGTTGAAGAAGTTGTTTATCGTGTTCAGGGTATACCCAAACCTGATAAGAAACCAACAGCTACTTCTTCATCTGCTGTCGGATCTACCTCGAAAAATGGAGGTTGTAAATTATCATTCTGCAGTTTTTTTTATCAATTCCTTGAAAAGTGTTCTATATCTTTCAAACTAATTATAAATTAACTGATTTATCTTTTTCCAGGTGTTTTCAGTTCTGGTCTCTTTAATCAGCCACCTCCTTTCTTGCCTGGACTTTCTTTTCTGCCTGCTGCTCTACAGAATCATATGCAGAAGGCTCCTACATTAGCTGTGAGTTTATGTTTTCAATGTACTTTTCTATCTGCTGTCCACAAATTGCATTAGAATACTCCATCTTTTTTTTTTCTTCCAGGATTTACTTCCAACTGACCTAGATCCCGTCTCACCAGAGAGTAGCAAAGATTCAGAGGATGAAACAGATACGAAAGGTCGAGCTAGAAACTCCACTATTGTTGAAGAAAGTGATATTATTCAACACCACGATGATTCTATGGAATCTCAGTTGTCTGGTATCTCTGATCTCACTAGTCATGGAAGTGAACATGGGCATAGTATAAAGTCAGAAAGGAGAAATTTGGGTATATGTGAAGAGGTCAATGATGATGACAGTCAACTTTCTAAAGTTTCTTCCAACAGCAAGTAAGTTAAAAATGAATATTCCCTTGTCTCACACTGACATCTTACTGACTTGTGTGTTCCTCTACAGACTGTCATGTGAATCTGCAACCAAAGATCAGCCAGAAGAGAAGCCTGAGATTTCATCAGCAGTTGATCTGGATGCACACAAAACAAATGGTACACTTGAAACAAGTTATGAAAATGCACAGGAAAAGTCTGCGTTCCCTGGAGAGCCTGGAGGCTCTGTTGTTGAGTATGGTGACCAATTTACCATGGAGGAAGAAGTTGCTACTACTGTTCAAAATGATCATGAAGTAGTGGCTCATGACAACATTATTAAAGAAGAAAGTCAGGCTGTAGTCTTGTCTGAAGATGTTAAAAACGTTGATGATAACATGTCTCTAGATAACTGTTCTGATGTTGACAAAAATTTGGAGTCCTTGCACTCTACATTCGAACATTCTGATGTCAAATTTCATGATGAGAACTCTACCCCTCAAAGTGAAGATTCACAGTTCTCAGGCTCTTCAGATAATAAGCTTCATATTGATGAAATGAAAGAATTTAACTCACAGTCTGAAAATTCACATCAGAATCAGGATGAGCAAAGCTGCTTGAAGACTTCATCTGAGGGTTTCCTCAGTGAAGAAAGTAACAAATGTAAAAGTACTGTAGAGAATGTTGTTGAAGCCTCTGAAGAAGCTCGACATGGGTTTGATGACAGTCAAGATGCATTGGAAAGACCACCTGTATCAATGCCACCTCTCCCTCCAATGCCCCCTGCTGACAGTAGCTCAGAGGAGAGACCTCCGCCTCCACCACTAACACCACCTGAGAAAATTTGTGCACCAGGAAGGTCAGTTTCTCCTTCCAGCTACTGTAATGACATCAAGCCTGTTCATTCATCTCCAATGTTGGCTGACAGCTTTTGTGAACGTCCGCCACTGCCACCAACTTCACCATTAGTTGAAAGAGCAAACATGGAAGTGCCTCCTATTCCCTCAATGCCACTTCAAATTGAAAGAAATGAAGGTTCCCATCTCCCTTTATCTCCAAGAACATCTCTTATTTTAGAAACTGCTGTTTCGCAAGAGATCCCAGAAACAGCTAATGAATGCCCACATTTGCTACCTACCTCATCTGGAAGATTGACTCACGTTCCTCCCTTACCACCTTCTACTCCACCCTTACCATCTACAACGCCTCCCTTACCACCTGCAACTGCTCCCCCTCCACCTGCAACCCGTCCCCTACCACCTGCAACCCCTCCCTTACCATCTACAACCCCTCCTTTACCATCTGCAAGTCCCTCCTTACCATCCGTAACCCCTCCATTACCATCTACTACGCCTCCCTTACCGCCTGCAACTGCCCCCCCGCTACCTGTAGCTGCTCCCCCGCCACCTGCAACTGCTCCCCCGCCACCTGCAACTGCTCCCCCGCTACCTGCAGCTGCTCCTCCGCCACCTGCAACTGGTCCCCTGCCACCTAGAACTGCTCCCCTGCCACCCACAACTGCTCCCTTGCCACCTGTAACCCCTCCTTTACCACCTGTAACCCCTCCTTTACCACCTGCAACCCCTCCTTTACCACCTGCAACCCCACCTTTACCACGTGCAACCCCTCCTTCACCACCTGCAACTCCTCCCTCACCATCTACTACTCCTCCCTTACCACCTACTAACCCTCCCTTACTACCTACAATCCCACCCTTGCCGCCTACAATCCCACCCTTACCGTCTACAATCCCACCCTTACCGCCTACAATCCCTCCCTTACCGCCTACAATCCCTCCCTTACCATCTGAAACCCCTCCCTTGCCATCAGCGACCCCTCCCTTACCACCTGCAACAACACAATTTCCTGTTAAATTGGATACCTCTCAATGCTCACCTTTAGAAGTATCAGCAGAAGAAATTAGAAAAAAGTCCCCTGAAGAAGAGGTGAGTGGTGACTCATACATCTCACCTTCGTATGATGAAAGTGCCATTCCTAAAACACCTCGATGGGAACCAAGATCTCCAAAGGAGGAAGAAAGGGACACCTTTTCTTCATTTGAATTTTTAGGTAACACAAGCAAAATTCCACAAAGTTTTATTCCTTCACTAAAGAAGAGCGACCAAGGTTAGTTATAGCCTAGTAGCGCAGCTCTGCTGTTATTAATAATTTAGATTTGTTAATGTTCATTTTTCAATTAATGTTTTTAAATTTAATTTTTAGATGAAGAATCACAATCTGGCTCAGAGGAAATGCAGTTGGCATGGAGCCCACTGTCTGCTCACGGAGAAGATGGAAATGAAGACAGTGGTGGAAGAAAGTCCAGAGAATTGCCTGAACAACATGATGCAAAGTTCTCTGATAAGAGAAGTTCATCTCATACAACAGCTCAAGAAGTCCCAGTACCTGAAAAATCAAATTTAATTGCAGGGCATTGTGAAAAGCAAACCCAGGAAAAAGATAAAGTAGAGAAATGTGATGCTGTGGATAGAGATAAGAATAAAGAACGAGATCGAACAAAAGATGAGAAAACTAAAGAAAGGTACAAGGAAGATGATCGAACCATCAGAGACTCCTCATCAAAGAAGAACGATGAGAAATCAAAACACAGTAGGGAGAGGAAAGACAGCTATAGGTCAAGGCATGATGAGAAGAATCGTTCTGAGAAAGATAGAGATCGCCATTCTTCATCATCACATCACAGAGCAGATGATAAAAAGAGGGATGAAAAAGAAAAGAGCTCGTCCTCAAGATACAAGTCAAGTCGTTCTGATGACCGCCATCGACATAGAGACAAAGAGAGAAAGAACAGTAGCAGTGGCTCCAGCAATGTGCGACATGAGGATAAAAGTCGTGACAGGTCATCTAAATCTGAAGACAAGTCAAAATCGTCCTCCAAAAGCCACTCAAATGACCGTGACAGACGAGAAAAAGACAGAGACAAAGATAGAGATAGAGACAGTAGGGATAAAGACAGGAAGTCAGATAGAGACAAAGAACGTTCAAAGAAGGAATCTGTGAGGCAAGATGAGAAAAAAAGGGAGAAAGAGCGTGAGAAAATAAGGAAAGACAAGAATTCTAGTGTTTGCCGCCCTAGTAATGAGCGACGGTCGCCTGATTTAGATAGCAATAATGGATCTACGTTTGGAGGTAATAATCAGACCTCTTCCTCTACAGTTAATAAAAGCAACCAAGATAGTAGCACTCAGGAAAGTAGTAAAGGAACAGGGTCAAGCGATTCAAATAGCAAGAGTAGTGAATCAAGTCAACAGAATGGTGCTTACTCAGAACCCTCCTTATTACTATCTCCTAATACCCATGGTCCTTCATCATCATTACCCTTCAAGAAACGGCCTCTTTTACAAGACAATGAAGCAAAAAGCGAGTTTTCCGGGAAATTGATTTTGAAGATAAGAAAACTAAATAGTTCTAAAATTATAGTAGATGCAAGGGCAAAGAGAATGAGAGCAGTAAGAAAACTTGAAAAAAGATCCGTAAGAAATTTAACCTACCTGTCCAAGTTCTCATTCAGGGTAAGTTATACATATGTAAACCTTTTACAAACTACTCAGTAGTCTTTATTTTTACATTCTCTTGTTTAAGAACTTACAATTAGTATTCTGGTCTCTAAAGTAAATAAATTTTCCAGGTTGATCATCAAGCTGAATTACCTCTGATGGACCATGGGCCTCCTACAATGTATTTTGAAACAGATTGGCCATCCAAATCAGATGATGATGCTTTTCTTGCTTATGTTCAAAACTTAGAACAAAGCAAAGCATTATGTGCTCTTTCAGATTATTCAGGATCGGATTCAGAGGAGGAAGAAATCCTGAACTTAGATGACACCAAAAGCAACTGTGGACTGGAGAGTAATAATATAATGCTCTCTCTCTCTGTGCTATCTGATAATCAAGCAGCACAATTAGCAGAACAAAGTTCACCTGTTACCAAACATAAAATGAAAAATTATTTGCCCGATCTAAAATCAAGCAGTACTAGTTCAAAACATAAGAACCGCACAAAACGAAGAAAATCACTTGAGGACAATTTTGAAGGGAAGCGCTGTAGATTCAATTCGAAGGAAGCAAACGATCCTGCTCCTACAGAACAAAAGTCTCGACGTGCAAGGAAACCCAACAAGAGATACTCCAATGATGAGTTCACGTCTACTTTTGACTATGAAGAAGAATCAGAGGAACTTGAGGCTATCGTTGAAGACAAAAACCTGGTATACTATCACCATAAAGTTATTTTTCCGTTTTAAACCCAATAGTTAGCTTTATAATTCAAAACGATTGTTTCACCAGGAGGATGTTGATACACCTATTGCAATGGAAAGTGAACTGTGCAAGTCTGAAGCACAAGTTTTATCTACATCTACTTCACAATATGAAACAAGGGTGAGTAATAGTTTCATAAAATCTCATTATATCTAGATATTTCAATTAGTCACATTTTTTGGATTACCACATTATGTTCAGGAGCTTTTTGTATCTGGAAGTATTGATCAACAGGAGAAAGAGAACAAAATCAATACCCCAATAGAGAATAAATCCTCAGCAGTTAGCCAACCCTCCAAATCAATTAGTTGCCATAACAAAGAACCATCATATTCATGGAATAGAGATTCTTATAATTCAAATAGTGAGGTAAACAACTGCCAATTTTGTGAAATGAATGACAAATGAAATACACCAGTAATTAAATTTTCTACCTCATAGTTTCTGATCATGTTCTTACTCTACAGGATGAAATAGATAACACAAATAATGAAAATGATCTTATTGGAACTGCCCTGAAGAATCTTATGATGGAGAGTGGTTTGGGCGGTCCAGATGAAGGTGATTTGTGATTTGATGTTCAACTGCATGATTCATTTATTGTTATGTATGTGGTTTATTCAATCCAAAGGGTGCATTTTAATTGGTCTTTGTTGGAGGTTGCTTGGTTTTGTGCTTGAAATTTTTATTTCTCAAAAGTGTGCAATTGCATTTAAATTTGTTTGGATTTGTCCGCATTAGGCCAGCACATTGATACCAAAACACAGGTACCTAAGTAGAATTAGCTGTGTTAATTTTCATTTCTTCCTTTGTTTCTTTACTTTTTAATAGAAGTTTACTTGTAAGTACTGTATGTGTCACCTCAAGTGGCTTTGTAAATGCATATGTACTGTAAGCCATGTTTTGTTGGAAGAGAAGTCATCCAGTAGGTTCTAGCAAACTATGAGGTTTGCTAATCTTAAGGGTTTGTACAGGTTGTTTGGGATATTTTTGAATTTAATGGGAGACCCACACATTTTTTTTTGTGTTGATTGGAAATTCACTGAACTCTTGGTCTAAAAAGAGTGAGTTATCTATGTAGTAGTCAGATGAGCATAATTAATTTGCATTGTACATAGTACAGAAGCTGCCTCTCTCAAGGTATGATTTTGCTAAATATCTTTCATGAGTTGCGCATGTTTTTCAAAGTACACCTAAATTTGAGAAAAGTTGAGAAAATGTAAGGGCTATGACAAAAGGAAAAATAATGAAAAATGCACTGTGTCCTGTCATGTTATGCTGCATTGCACTGCATCGCATCATTGTCTTGCTGAAATTTAAGTTCTGGTGATTAGGAATCATTGCTGCTTTAGTTTCGAAGAGTTGGTTTCAAAATATCTGTGTCTTTCTGTGCTTTTACCCAAAGAGAAGAGATTACTGTTACATGTATGTTGGGCTTGATGTTGTGAATATTCTTATGTCGAACATATTCAGGTTCAGGTATTATCTTTCATACCTCTGACTTTATGCATTTCTTAGCCATCTCACCCATCATGTGTGTGTACTCTAGGGCGCCATGTTTTCTTCCTTCGGAGTATACTGTAGAAAAAGACTGGTTATTTGTTTCTACAACTTCTTTAGTTATATCCTTAAATAAATACTATTTCTCCTGAATAGTATGTATGTATCTGACTTCTCCAACCATAGTTTGCTTCTAAAAATGAACTTGAAGAGATCGTACTACTTTTCATGTCTTCAAATAACATGCAATTGGCAATTGGCAATTGGCATTACATCCTTGTAGGAAGGAGGGGAAACCTGATGTACAGGTAATATTCATTATGAAGACTTTGTCCGTGCATGTCTTGCTACATCTGTTGTGGAGAGCTGTTTTGCTGCATGTCGTACTGCCTGTTGCTTTCTGTTAGTGGATTGAATGATGATTTCTTATGAAAATTATGAAATTCATTTTGATTGTTTTACTTTAACTTGAGTTTATTTGTGGGTTTGTTTGCCAGATTTAGTACACTTAGCATTTGTTTTAAAAAATCATCCCCTCTTTTACCACAGTAATTCGTTTATTTACAGCATCAGGATCTGAAAAGCTATCCTCAAACTCTCATTCAAACTTGCCCAACACATTATCAGGAAAGCAAGGGAAGTCTATCCCCCTCTCTGGTGTGAAGAGAGTTGGTCTAAGCAAAAACTATAAGGGAAATAAAAAGTTCTCTGTAAAACCTGCAGTTGCTGCATTGTCTTCCAGTGAATTCTCCCTTCCTCTTAGTCCCGATAGTGATGTCTCAGCATCCACTTATGATAAGGGACCAACCAAAAAACTTAAAGGTTTGATCAAATATGCAAGTACCATATGTCTTTTTAAATTATTGCGATTCTGATTTAACTTCATCTTGTTATAGCATCTTCTAGCTCTGAAGCTTCTGACAAAGATGTAAGTGCAGAGGCAAGCAAGCTTGATAGCAGGTATGTTTCGGGGAAAAGTAAACGATTGTTGTCCTGTACCTTACCCTATTGCTGACATTAATTACTTTAAAAATTTCAGTCGCATCAAGCAACATTACAGTAGTGATGACTTATATAAACCCCGCCCTCCTCTCAGACTGACGTCGAAACGCCGGCAAGTACTGTCTGACCATGATGAAGTCTTTTAAAAAAGAATGATGAAATAACTGTTTTCATGAATTGTTTTATTGTTAATCAGTAATATTTTAAAGAACAATTGACATTCTGTTGTGTCAAATTAAAGAATACAAATGAACTAAATATCTTCCTTTGTATCTTCTCCTGAAACTTGCTTAACATAATCAGCAGCCATTTTTCGAACTTTTTCTTGGCCTTCTGTAGAGCCATGAACTTCTTCAAACTGCAGATATTTAGTAAAAAGGGTTTTCATTTTCTGAGATGGCATCTTTTGACTAACAGCCCTTTCTAAGAGTTCTCTGCAATTTAAAAAGTTTTAAAATTTTTATCCATTTGTATGACCATTAGAAAATTTTAGCAAATAGGGTATAAAATTTACAAACCTCGCTTCTGCAATTTCTTTAGCTCTTACAAGCATATCACAGTAGACGATCCACACATCCAGTCTCTTAGGGTACGATGCTAATATTGGATCCATGAGGGCCTTGGCTTGTTCCATATTATTATTTCGGGCTTCCATCAAGGCAAATTGCACAACAAGATCTACTGACTCTGTTAAAGGTCAATGTATCAATCAAGGTTAATGGTGTAATACATGGAAGTTCCGAATTGAGGAGAGGTACTTTACTTGAACAAAACTTACCTTTTTTGCTCCTCATGTGTGGTAGGGCTTGTTGCAAAATAGTCCTTGCTTTATCAATATATCCACAGGTCATAAGGACAGTGCCTATGTCAAGCCACATTCCTGGAGTTTCCTTGAACTTCTTGACAACAAGCCTAACTTCACTCTCTAATTCTCTATTTTTACCATTTTCTGCATATAATCTGACCATGTGTGTCCGTATCTAATGAAAGCATAAATTTACAAAGAGAAAACCAAAAAGGTATTAAGTTGATTGTTTTTCACAAAAGGTAAATACAGTACCTTGTAGGGATCATTTGACTGGAGAGCTTGATCAAGTGTGGTCTTCAAACTGTCGGGCGTACCATACAGATTTTCTAAATTAAGAAGACCTAGCCATACATTTAATTTTTCTTGTTCTTCTCTGTACGAAATTGACTTAATAGCTCTGTGAGCGACAGCTCGAGCCTTTTCAATTTCGGTGGCCTATAACAGGAAAAATATGAACTACTGTAACTATTTTTAACATAAGAAATTACCCCTTTCAAGATGAGATGCTATTTTAAATACCTGAAGATGAAATGCCATATATCGTAGCCAAATTGCAGAGTTATCAGGGTTAGCCAAAACCGTCCTATCAAAGTCATCACATGATGATAACTGACGATTAGGATCCAATAGTTCTCTTTCAACTTTCTGTAATCTCTCTTCTTCAAGTCTGGTAGCCTCTCTCCGCTCTGCAGCTGACTTCTTACTTTTCTTTTTCTTTGGATTTTGATCTTCATCTGAATCATCATCACTGCTAGAATTGTCTTTTGTCGGTTCTAAAACCTAGCAGTTGGAGGAAACAAACAAAATGAATCCGTACAAAATCTTATATAGAACAGAACACAAATAAGTTCATAAAAAACATACCTCCATGAATTTTGTTGGGTCAATATCCCACATAAAACCAGGATTTTCTAACGTAGGTTTCTTTCCATTTGACGACACTAAATTGTCTCCACAAGCAGAATCATCAATGCTTTCAAGATCAACCTCTATAACTTTTTTCTTTTTCTTCTTAGCCTGAGGTCCTAGCCCACTTGGGCCATCATCTTGGAGAGCCTCAAGACAAGCATCTTTCCTTTTTTTCTTAATTGTAACTTCTTCTACTTCAGGATCATTTGATTCATTCAGGCTTAGTTCCTTATTCTTCTTTTTCTTCACTTTACTATTCTCAGACAATTCAAGATCCTGACCAACATTTGACAGTTTTCGCTTCCCCAACTTTGATGAATTCTGAGTAACATTTTCTTTCTCATGATCTGATTTCTTTTCCAAATTGTCGGGGGAGTCACTGTCAGAATCATCACTTACATCAACAGATTCCTGATCACTTATTTCATCCATTTCAGCATCAATAATTTTAATATCATTTTGTGTATCCAAGACTCTTTGGGCTGATTCTAACTCATCATCCTCATCTTCCTTTTTAATGTCCTCTGGAGCCATTATCTGAAAGTATCTTTCCTTCTTCACAGTTTTTTTCTTCTCAATCTTTTCCTTTTGTTTAATTATCTTCTTTCTGTTCTCAACTACTTCTTTAGGTAAACAAATAACTATTCCGTTACTGCACCTAAAATTGTTTTGAAAAGTTTTAATGAATTGTTATTGATTGGGATATTATATGATACATACAGTACCATATTACATGTTCCAGAAAAACCATATGTAATCTCTTAGTCTAAAATTGATGCCTACCTTTTCACAATAACTTTCCTGTCAATACCAAAGAAGGGCTCTGGTGCACTGAGGATTGATTTGCCATGAGGATACAGATATGTAGGAATATATGCAAGACAAGGCTTGTTTTCTCCTTTGAGTCGAATAAGAATAAATTCAGGAGTTACAAGGAGGGTTGGACCTCGAAGCTGAACATCTGGATCAATGAAAAGTCCTGTTTCAGATGATCTTTCATGGATAGAAGCACAAACTTCTTTACGTATGGACAATTCAACATGCCCTCTCAGAAAATCAATCTGAAAAGCATCAAGGGAACAAATAAGAAAAAGTAATAATAGTTTGAAAAAACCAAACAAAACATTTTGTACATACATTAAGAATTTTGCCATTTACTCTAGTTCCTACATCAAGGTCATCACTTTCAGCATTGAAAAATGTAACTTCCCCACGGGCTCCATTTGTAAGTTTTAACACAAAACCCCAATCAGTTTTTTCTGATACCACACCACTAACTTTGCCCCCAACATTAAAAGCTCCAAGAGGACTTCCTGCTTTCTTAGCATATTCCTGTAGACGCTCTTGATCAGAGAGATACTTTGAGAGGTACAAGACACAAGTCTAAAATGAAGAGAAAAAAAATGGAATTTGAATACAAGCAATCTGCATGAACAACAATATGTATCCAAATTAAGCACTACTATACCTCCAGCTCTCCGTCCCAAAGCTCACTCTTCCTGCACCCTAAAAGAAGGGTGTTTTTTTCAGCAATAACTTTTAGAACTTTTGCTTGAATTCCTTGGCCTTCCACTAAACCAATACTTAAAATATCTTCATCTTGCTCACACACCAGTTCACGGCTAACTTTGACCAAACCTGATACTGAGGCAAGAGGTACTTGGAGTAAAAGGTAGGAGGGATGAATTTTTTGAACAGAGCATGGTAGAATCCAACCAGGACAGACAGCCTCTAGAAGCTTTTTGGAAGCAATTTTCCCGTGAGTGCCCTGAAAACAAAAACAAAAGTGTTATGTTAATACGTTTTTTATGGACAAAGTCGCAGGAAATGTAATTGTGCAGTGTTTTTGTATTTACCTTGAAAAATTGGGTTACAGAGGACCTCATTGAAAACACTACAGGTTCTTTCCCTTTACCATTGCTGAAGCACCAAACATTCGTCAACACAGTTCCAATTTCAAAAGTAGCAAGAAGTAATTTGCACATATCAAGGTTATCGCTCAGCTGGAAGATGGGAATGACACCAGTAGCTGAAAATTTTAAAGAACAAATGACAGATAGGTATTAGTAACATTGTTCGAACCAATTGCTGCATATACTTCTAAACACATGTCAGCTCTAAGATTCACACACCATTATAGGACTCTCCCTCATCAGTTATCTTAACTTGGAGACCATCATTTTCAACTGATAAGACTTCAAGGGTGTAAGCTTGTCCAACCAACACCGTTTTACAAGCAGCTTGGTCAAGTTTAAAACTTTGACTTGGAGGAATAAGAGTAAGTTTCAGTTGATTATCATTACGTCTGAGGACATAGCATCTCACCTGAAAAATAAGTGCAACTGTAGATATTGCTGAATAGCTAAGATAAGAAATCTAATTTAGAAAGAAAAAGAGGGTTACATACAAGTTGTCCAAGGAAGAACTTATGACCTGTGGGGACACAGTGCTCACTGTTTTCAAGGAAACCTTTCGCATCACCAAAGAAAGACACAATGGCACCCTTTGATGATATTGCCACTACAGTGCCTGTATAACAGGTCCCTTTGCGAGCACTCTGGCAGGACATTATAATGGGGTCTTGGCTAGTAACAAGTGAGTTTTTCAGGGTTATTATTAATTTATGCTTATCAAGATCCACTTTCAGAACCTAAAACAAGTGTAAGAAAACATACAATTTCCACTGATTTTAGTATACTGCAGTAGTTGCTTCAAGAAGTAAGTAATATAGTACCCTTCCTGTAACCCTGAGACCAGGATTATACTTCTTTGCTGGCTGATGTAATGGAACATCTGCAGAGTGAGCTGCTGGTACAAATCCATTCAACATGCCAACTCTAACAACTATTCCTCCATCTCGAATTTGGTCCACCACACATGGCACTACAGAACTGACTTGTACATCAGAAAAGGTCAGGTACTTCTCATTCAAAACTGATCTGTAATCAAAGTATATGGTGAAAATGATGTCTAAAGTGAATGGAAACACAAAAAAGGTCTTCTTAAAAAATACCTACTTTTCCATACTACAGACATAGGTCTCTATCATGCTATCATAGTGAATCAGTCTGCATCGCACAGTGCTTCCAAGAGGATACTTATCCCTCAATCGTTGTAACATTGTTGCTGAATTAGCATCATCTTCTACCTTACCCTTAAAATTAAAACCAATGCGGCGCTCTGGTACGAAACCACGGACCTTGCTATTCTTTTTGCCAAGGTTCAGAAAAATTCCTTTCCCGCTCACTCCAGTAACCTACATGGGAAAATAAAATATCATAGTTAAACCGGGGTTTGGCCGGTCAAACTCCGGATTTGCAGTTCTCCGGGCTTTTACTGTAACACATCTACACATAATGTATAAACCAAATAGAAAGATATTTGTAGAGAAGAAAATATATTGTTTACCTTAGCAGAATTAACTGTGTCACCAATCCCAAAATTAGTTTCAGCAGGAGAAGGTTTCGGAATTTCCATCAGAGGGTCACTGACGCAAGGTAAAGCACTAAAAAAGACATGCTTTACAATAGGTGTAATGTACAGCACACGTCCAAAAATTGAGGAGCCATGCTCTAGGTGAGGCATGGCTTCTTTTGCAGAACTAGATATTGGAATATGATTACGGTGAAGATAACCAGAAGAGGACATGAAATTAACCATCACCCCATCACGCATGGACTGAAAATGAAATGCAATTGTTCATGAAGCTGGAGAAACTGTATCAACATATAACTATCTTATATAACCAACTTACATCAGCAACAGATAATTTAAACCTCATTCCGGGCATAATATGTTGCATGTCAACCGGTTGAGAACCGTTAATCTCGTGTTTGCAGACGTCATCAGGGTCAGCAGAGAGTTCAACTTTTGAAGCAGCTGGTGATGGTTCCCCTTTGACAACAACAGTTCGCACTAACTGACCAACAGCTGAAATATACAGCAAATCACAGATGAAAATATTTCAAGTATTTGCTGGAATAGATAAGAAAAAAAAAAAAAAAAAAAAGTCAGACAAACCTAGGGGTCTTCCAGAGTTAAATGTGTCACAATAGCTTTGAACCTTGTCATCTTTAAGGAAACTTCTTAAACCATTTACACCACAATCCATTACATATCCATGTTCCTCTTTACTTTTGACAGCCGCTGTGATTATAAGACCCTTCTTTGCCATGGCTGCATGAGACCAAGCAGTATACAATACTCGAGGATCAAGACTTAAAGTGATAACATGCCGGTTATCACTGGTTTTGCGAATTTGCCATACTTGAGCCAAAACAAGCTGACCTTTATAAAATAGCTCAGAGAGAGGACATAGAGCCTAAGAGGAAAATTATATATCAAATGAGATAAATTTTTGACATAATAAAATAACATAGAAGGAAGAAAAATATTACCTCTATATTGTCGTCACTTTGGCTCATGGACTGCAACAATTGCGAGTAAGGTTCTGAAATTTGTGTGACAGGAACCCTTCCTGATATTAAGCCAGGCAAAGAAACATGGAGGTAATAGTCGGTGATCTCTGTTACTCGTCCTAATACTATCATTCCCTCAGTGAGAGTCTGTAAAATACAATAAACAGTAAAAACAATATCGTACAGGGGAGAATTTTTTTAAAAATTATTGAAATACCACCTTGTATGACAAGTCATCCAATGAAATTAATTTAGGATCTGACCCTGTGACTGCCTGATGTTTAACTTTTTTCTTATTCTTTATCTTCTTTTTCTTTTGATCAAATAACTAAATAGAACAAAAGTGGAAAGATTAATTACAACCAGCATACTTATTAGCATGTACAATATACTCGAATATTTTTGATATACTTACATTTGATTTCTTAGTGTTTGAGAATACGGGAGCCCCACCACGAGGAAAAGCTTTTTCTTCAATAGCCATTTTGGAAATCTTTGAAGAAAAGAGATCAGAAATATAATGATATACCAAGCAAATGTGATACAAATCCAAGCTAATTTAACACTGTTTTCTTAAGATTTCTTATTAAAATTTGAAAAGAGCATGAGAGACGGGAACGACGACTGAACACATATGTGGTACGTTTTAGCTCTTAAATGCATAAAGACAAACGATTTAAATTCGGTAAGCAGGAGCCAATTGTGGACACCTAACCTGCGTAGAACTAAGGGATTGTTATCATTTTTCCTAGTTCAAAATTAGGCTAAATAGGCAGAAAATGAATAAAAAGTGGCAGTACAAACACTACTTAAACTACAGAAGTACCTGCAACTACTGTCACACGTCAACCAGATATATATAATGGCTAAATATTTGGGTTTGCTAGTAACACGTGTGTTGCGTGTTGCGAGAAGAACTAACCAGCGAACCGCAGTTTGTTTTCACTGTATGAGAAATTATCCGGGCAACACGGGGTAGAAATTAAAAAACAAGCTAGTGACAACGTTCCCAAAAATTCGTCGTAGCCAGTCAAAGTGCGGTAACGGCGGTTCGTGTCGGTCGGTCGTGACAGTTCTATCTTTTTCTATCATATGTTTTGTTCATTCTAATGTTCTATCCGGCCCGGCCTCAATCCTCGAAATGTATTTGAGAATGAGATCAAGATCTAACAAATAAGTTCTAGTTCGTGTTCTGAAAAAGACTGATTAAAGACTGTGCAATCATGGCTCTACAAATTCAGCCCAAAGAAGTGAAGGTAAATTTTGATGTGTGTCAATGTATCAGATACAATTGATACAGGTTATGTTCCATATAATACCTCTTACCACTCACTTCTTTACCTACTTATCATGAAAATCGTAGGACTCAGAAGTTTTAATTCATCTTCCCTTTGTTAAGAAATTATTGAACACTTAAAACAAGACAATTATCCCTTGCATTGTCAATCCTTCGTTTAGCCACCTCATCCCTCTATAATATTTAATCATTATGTAAAATTGTACACAATTTTTCAAGAGCTTTCAATTTTAACTCTTATTATATTTCCAGAAACCTGGGCCGGGTATGCCGGGTGCTGGTCCATCGTTGGCCTCAGGTTCTGCTACCACATCCCAACAACCTCAGGTGCAGGAGTTTTCTATTCGTGTTCCAAAGTAAGTTTTCCTATCCTTTCTTTACTTTTAATTCTACTTTGAAAGTTACGCTTTGTTCTTGAAATAATTGTAATACTATTCTGCTGCAGGAATACTAAGAAAAAGTTCCATATGATGCGTTTTAATTCTACACTTAATGTTGACTTCACTACATGGAAGCAGATCCGAATGGAACGGGAAAACAATGCTAAGGAATTTAAAGGGTTTGATGAAGATATGCCAAAGTAAGACCTCTCTTTTTTTTTACCTACTATCATCCTATGATCTGTACAGCACAGTGAACCAAAAGAATTAAGTTGAGAATGATTTTAAAATTTGACCATAAATTTCATTTTTGGTTTTCCATAGGTTCGGAGCTGGTAGTGAATTTGGTCGCGAGGCACGTGAGGAGGCGCGGCGCAAGAAATTTGGAATTGTGGCAAGGAAGTACAAACCTGAAGATCAACCATGGATTTTAAAATCTGGAGGGAGCAAAGGGAAAAAGTGAGTCACATAATATTTTCTCAAACATCTGTTTTACTCAAGTAGTTTCCTCTTGACTGAGTTTGTCTGTTCAGATTTAAAGGTATTCGTGAAGGAGGGGTGTCTGAGAATGCTGGATATTATGTTTTTATGAAAGCGGAGGATGGAATCATTGAAGCGTATCCATTACAAGAGTGGTACAATTTTCAACCCATTCAACGTTACAAAGCACTTTCCGCTGAAGAAGCCGAGGAAGAATTTGGAAGGTGAGTGTTGTTGTATTTCTGTTCATTAATTGGTTAATAATTTGAAATCAGGAATTTCTGATAACATTTTATTCTTAGACGAAACAAACAACAAAACTTTTTCTCGCTCATGATGAGGAAACGTTTGCGTCCTGATGAGGATGTGGACCTTGATGACCCAGACGAAGCTAAAGGAAAACGCAAGGGGGGAGGTGGAAAGAAATCTAAAGGTAGGGAATATTTTTCTAGTTATTTCCCTTTGTGAACTCGAGAAGTGCCCAGAGAATTTTCTCTCTTCCATAAATTTCATTTGTGTATATACAGGTAAAAACTAAGTTTTCTTGTTCCAATTTTATTATTGTAAGTGTTTTTGTTGTATTATTTCAGAATTAAAAATATCAGACATGGAGGAATGGATGGATTCAGATGATGAATCTGAATCCGATGGTGATGAAGAAAAAGATGATGATAAAGAAGAAAAGGCTGAGAAAAAGAAAAAAGGAAAGAAAGGTGCAGAACAAATCAAACTTTTTGCATGAGTTCCTTAACTTAACAAAAAATTTGACATTACTGAAAATTTGATTCCAGAGGCAGAAGCAAAGAAGAAGAAGAAAAAGAAAGATTCAGATGATGAGGCTTTTGAAGAGAGTGATGATGGTGATGAGGAAGGCAGAGAAGTTGACTATATATCAGATTCATCAGTCAGGTATTGTGCCTTCCCCCATCTTCCAAATACTATTGACAACCTTTTCAAATACATATCTACTTTTACTTTATTTCATGATCTCACTGCAGTGTTTCAGACCATGATGAAAAGGCTAAAGATGAAATGAAAGGTGTTGCTGAAGAAGATGCCCTGAGGAAACTCTTAACTTCTGATGAAGATTCTGAAGAAGAGGAAAAGAAGAAAGAGGGAGAAGAGAACAGTGATGCCGAAGATAAGAAGGAGGGTGAAGAAAGCAAGAAGGATGCAGCTGAAACCAAAAAGGCTGCAACAGAAAAAGACCGCAGCAAGAAGAAAAAGAAAAAGGTTTGTGCTAAAGTGGTCTGTTACTAATTGTAAGTTATGTTGTGCCCTGTTTCCTAATGTTGAATTCCAATTACTTTATTAGAAGCGTGAAGCAGATAGTTCTGAAACCCCATCCAGCAAGACTGCATCGACTTCAAATGATAAGAAAGACAAGGGTAATGGTAAGAACAGACTTGTCTATGAATTTAAATACGTCCTTAGTAACAAACACAGATATCACTCAAGTACTTTGTTTATATTCCTTGCAGATTCTATGAGTGATTTGAGTTCAGATTCAGAGCCTGAAGGAAGTAAGAAGAAGGATTCCAAAAAGGACGCAAAAGAATCAAATAGGTACAGGATTGATTATCATTCATCATTTTTTTAAAACAGTCTTGTTAAGTCAATAACTCATTCATTGGAGGTTTTCACAATATGTTGATTGAAATCTTAATATTTCCAGTGGAAATAGCTCAAGATCAGCCAGTCCTGCACTGCAGCCAGATGGTAAAAGGAAAGCTACTAGTGATGCCCTAGCTGCTGTTGCCGCAAAGAAAGCCAAATTGGACAACTTTGCTTCTGCTTCAGCTTCACCGTATTTAGCTGGAGCAAGGTAAGAACCACCGATGTGCACAGTTTAATCAGTATCCTCTTTTTGCAGTCGTGGCCAATGTCATTTTCTTGTTGCAGTGAGGCCGGTATCACTGAAGATGCCGTGCGGCGTTATCTGATGAGGAAACCGATGACAACGACTGAACTTCTCCAGAAGTTTAAAAGCAAAAAGACTGGCCTTAGCTCAGATCAGCTTGTAAATATTATGACTCAAATTCTCAAGAAAATCAACCCTGTGAAGCAAACTATCAAGGGCAAGATGTATCTTTCAATTAAGGCGCAAGGTGCACCGAAACCTGCTGAAAGCACTTAGACAATGGCCACTGGTGGCTTGTACACTCGTATGCTGGCATACATATGTGTGTATTTTGTAAATAAACAGGACGAAGTATCATGTTCCACAAGTTGGTTCGCTTTTATAATCACATACAGGGGTACTACCGCGGGTACTACCCAAGCCCACGAGTAGGATGCTGTGGGCAGCAGACCCGGCGCTTGTCCCGTGCAGTCCGGTCCAGACCCTGGCCCAGCCCGGCTTCTCGCGGCGTCCGTCAATGATTTAGTGAAGGGCCAGGCCCTGCAGGCGGGGCCCGACGGAGCCCCTGGGTAGGGGCCGGGCCGCACATTGGTGCCGCCAAATCCAAGGTGAGTGGATTTATTTGAGCCCGGGAGGTGGCCGCCAGCCGGGGGGTCGCGTCCCTTGGACACTTTGTGGACTCGGCCGGATCGGAAAGAATGTCCGCGACTCTGCCCTTCACACCCTTCCGAGTATTTTCGTTTCCCTACCTGAGCTAGTCAAGAAGGTTTTAGAAGCCTGTCAAAGAAACTTACAAACCAATAAGGAGTTTCAATTAACGCGTTCAGTTCGGCTGCCCGTTTGGGGGTTGGAATAACCAACAAAATGTGACCACATTGTGGTCACGCTCCACTGAACTCAGTAAGGACAATGAAAACGATTCGACAGAACGAATAACTGTAGTGCTTTAGACTGAAACTGCCGACAGTCCCTCTCGTGAATCACCTCCAGTTTGGGTGGGGTGCTCGCGCATCTGCGTGAGCGCCCGCGGTCGGCAGGGTAGGCCACCCGCTCCGGACGGCAGTCCCGCGGGCGAGTATCGCTGGTCCGTCGGGCGCTCAGCGCGCCGCGCCGAGTCTCCAGCGGATGCGTCATCAAAGCATTTTAGTTAGCCCAGTGTCGGGGAAGGAGATCGCTTCCCCGGCTAGTTTCTTTTGAAACAGAACTGTTTGCAATCTGCGAGTTTTACGTAAAAAGCATTCAGACAATTTAACGGCACCGGGGCGGGGGTCGTTTTCACCTTTGACATACCGGCAGTTTTCCCG